CCACTGTACTGTCCATGTATCTAGCCACAGAATACTCTTGTTGCAGTGTTGTGTACATGACACTATTTACCTCCATCCCCTTAATACCTCCCTGTGTCTTCATCATTCTTCTGCCAACTTGCCTTTTCTTGTATATTACCCTTCTCTTCACCCAAGTTAACATGTGTCTACCCTCTAGACATTGAATTATTTTGCCTTCCCTCCCATGCTTGGAAACCATCAGAGAATGTTTCAGAATCACTTTTCACCTCAATTTAGTCTGTGTCCTTGGACTTACCCCTCAAATTCAATCCTTAACTTCAATCACTGAGCAGGGCTTGGAACTGGTTCCTTTTAACCCCCATCTGCCCCTGGCTGGGAATTTGCATCTCTACCTGGAGCTCTGGTAGCATAGTGGTTATGAATTGGGCCGCTAACCTCAGGGTCAACAGTTTGAAATACCAGCTGTTCCATGGGAGAAAGATGAGGCTTTCTGCTCCTGTAAAGATTTATAGCTTTAGAAACCCTGTGCAGGGTCACTATGAGTCTGGTCCAACTCCACAGTACTTAACAACAACAATAAAGGACATCTGGTAGCGTAGTGGTTATGAATTGGGCCGCTAACCTCAAAGTCAGCAGTTCGAAACTACCAGTGGTTCCACGGGAGAAAGATGAGGCTATCTGCTCCAGTATAGATTTACAGCCTTGGAAATCCTGTACAGGGTCGCTATGGGTCGCAACCAACTCGACGGCACTTAACAACAACTCAAAATATACTGAATCTGAATTTACATTTTAAAATGCTCAGATGATTCTTACAGACCTGGCTAACGTGTCGATTCTGATTCAGTTTATCTGGGGTGGAAATACCACTTCTCATTAGGGGACTGAGCCAGAACAAACAAGTCGGAAGTCCTGACTCCTCCATATCCCAGTGCTTGCTTAATTTTGCTCTCTTAATCATCACTTTATTTTTTACCCCTTGGCTTTATAAACTCTATTTTCTAGTGAGCAGAATGCCCCACTCCTCCATTCTTGTGGTTTATTTATCATAATTTCCCTGACCTCCTGAAGCTACTATCCTCTAGAACTTTACCTCAAAATAGTTCACTTTAACCTAGTCCCTTCAGAGGCATTTTGGAACTCCAATCTTCACTAGGCATCATCCCATTCTCATTTCTTGGTTCTCACTGCTGCTTATTTATATTGTTTTGTTTTTTGAGTAAGGATTTGCCTGATGGCCAGCACCATTATAGTCCTCATTAGATGGACAGTGGCTCACCATTGCACAGCTCTCCAGCTCCAGTCCCCATCTGCCATTGACTACCACAGAGACATTGACAATGGGTGTTTATTTCAACCCCAAAGTTCCTTAATGTGTGTTAGGTTAGGGAACTTTGCAATTTCATGACCAGTCTAATTTTCAATACGAAGTAATTCTTTTTATAAGTTATTCAATTGTTAGCAGATTTTTGTTGCACTTTTATGTTTGTTCTACTACAGTTTTATATTGAAATTAACCAGCATCATTATTTTATTTGTGCCTTTATTAAGAAAATGATTTGTCCTTAGTTGTCAAAGCACCACACAGAAATTCATAAAATATAAATCTAATTTTTGTGCTTGTGAGTGATTCTTGTGAGTGATGAGTTTACTCCTAATAAAGTGAAATTAACATTGAGCATCTAAGAATATGAATTGTTTGAATCTTCTAGATGTTGAAGTTTAATAAAATACCCCCCACACCTTTTTGCATACCAAAGTTTTGAGCCAGTGAAGAAGAAGAAGAAGAAGAAAAGAGCAAGGCAGATGAAAATTCAGTATCATTTTTATTAGTGATAGCATTAATGTTGCAAAATATGACTTTATCAAGTGAACTTCTGAATTAAACAAAGCTGCCCAACCAGCACTAACTCAGGATTGGGGAAGGTAGTCTTCAGAAAAGCCAGGTTTCATTTTATAACTCCCACAGCATGGAACAGGAGAGGGGTAGCCAGTATTTTCTGAAAGCACCTTCAACCCCTCCAAGACACACAAGAAGGACCAGAGGCCGCACCACATTTATATTTTCTTTTGTCTTTGTCTTCCCCTTATTGCTCAAATTATGCTACTCTTTGTCCTCTGCAGACTCTTAAGAGAGGGGTCTGAAAAGATATCCGAAGTAACTTGCTAAGAAAACTTCTTCCATATGGAAGAATATAAATAACAGGAAATGTGAGGAAGGCAGAGCCTCTTTCTCTTACCTGTAACATTAGGTTCTGCTTTGGTACATTTCAATAAAATTTACCTACATAAGTGTTGGTGGAGTCCACTCCAGCCATAAAGATGCCATTTTCCTTGACTCAGTTATTATAAGTACCAGTCACCTAGCTTGTATTATACGCCCTTCCTTTTCACCCCTACCCAAGTCACACTCTTACCACTTCCAGATGAATCAAGCCAGGGAAGCTTTCATAGTCCATTTGTATCCACAGGAAATCTTTCAGAAACAAAGTATCAGACACCTAGCCTAAATGCACAAAATGGAATGCATTGTTTATATATTTGAAAATCCAAGTAGTCTGACTGGATTCAGATTCAGAGGTGACATCATCACAGAGAAATGATTTCTCCCTAATTCTTTATTATCTTTTGAGTTGGTTTTCCTTTAGGTAAATGTAATCTTTCTGGCTAGTGAATGACCTCCAGCAAGACAAGACTTTCTTCTTTATCACTTCAGTAAGTCTTTCTTGCAAGGATGCTCCAGCAAAAACTCTGGAGTTGCAATTACTGGCTCAGTTTGGGTTGCGTATTAATCCAGTAGTTTACAAAGTGCGACCCCCTAGATCAGTTGCAACAAAGTATACTTTGGAACTTGTTAGCAATGCACAGTTTCAGGCTTCAAAATCTGTGGAGGTGGTATCCAGCAATCTGTGTTGTGGCAAGGCCTCCAGGAGATTCTGATGTAAACTACAGTGTGAGGACCATTTTGTTAATCCTTGCACCAAATTGTAAGGAGCCCTGGTAGCACAGTGGGTTATGCATTGGGCAGCTAACCACAAGGTCAGTAGTTCAAATCTACCAGCTGTTCTGATGGAGAACTGACTTGATGACATGAATAAGACTATGTTTTATTGCTTGACAGATAAAATATATTGAGTGGTGTTTTTTGAGTAATTTGGTTATTCTGTTAAAGTTACTAAGAGAAGGTCAGCTTCCTCTAGTGAAGGTGAAGAGCATGAGATGCATTTCCCAAAGGAAAATTAGGTGCTATTATTGCAAAAAGCAGCAGTTTCTGGGCAGGTAAAACCAACAGACATTCTCCAACCTAACCTTTTCCACAAGTACTAGGTAGTGAGTTATAATAGCAAGAAATACTTGGTAGTGAATGATTAAGACTTGTTTGTTGTCTCTTCAAAGATCAGGACAGTAAAGACTTTTCTTCTTATTGCTTTTCTGGAGAAAACTCATCATTTTTTCCTTTGATTAATTATGATATTATACCTTTCTTTATATGGTGGGACATCTGGGTGACTGAGCATAGGTAGGGTATGGAGTTAACTTGGGCTGGGTCAGTACTCAACTCCTTAAGTGAGGCTAAGTCAAGAGTAGACCATATTGACTTTTTTTCCCCCTGGAACTACCTCAAAGCCAACTGAATATCATGTGCAGAAACAAGTTTGGCCTAGATATAGTATGAGACAACATGACAACTTGTCCTGTTTAAACCTGACTTATGATTTTCATAGGTACAATGGTGGGTGACCATACTCGCTTGGAGTTCCATAATATTGAAACCGGTATCATGACTGAGAAGCGTTACATCTCCGTTGTCCCCTCCAGTTTCATTGGCCATCTGCAGAGCCTTATGTTTAATGGTCTGCTGTACATTGACCTGTGCAAAAATGGCGACATTGATTACTGTGAGCTGAAGGCTCGTTTTGGACTGAGGACTATCATTGCTGACCCTGTCACCTTCAAGACCAAGAGCAGTTACCTAAGCCTGGCCACTCTCCAGGCCTACACCTCCATGCACCTCTTCTTCCAGTTCAAGACCACCTCAGCAGATGGCTTCATTCTCTTCAACAGTGGTGATGGCAATGACTTCATTGCAGTTGAGCTAGTAAAGGGGTAAGTAGAAGGGGTCACAGGATTCCTACTGGATATCTTAGCTCTGGTGGCACTGAGACATAGGCATTGGGCTGTTACCTTCAAAGTCAGTGACTCAAACTCACCAGTTACTCCAAGGGATAAAGATGAGGCCATGTGCTCCCTTAAGATTTATAGGGTCACCAGAAATCAGAATCAACTCCATAGTAGTAGGTTGAGCTTGGTTTAGGTATCTCAGTTCAAGCCCTGAACAAAATCTGGACATGAAAAAAATGTGTTCATTCTTTCCACCAGTCTCTATTCCTAATGCATGCTAACAGCTTCATTGATTAGGAGATCAGCATAATAATTTTGTTGGAAGGGAATGAAATTTTTTTGTTTAAAGATCTTTTATTAACTCAATACTATGACTCTCTTTACTATAAAATATAGACCTTTTAAAGTTATGCTTGCCAAAAAGGGTTATGGGGAGGCCGTTGTATTTGTTTCTTGAGAAGGACTATCTGCAACCATCAAAATTATAGCAAGAAACGAAATACAGATATTGTGTAGTCCCACCGACTAGACCATGTCTACAAATTTGAAAAGTTGCCTTTTCTTGAAGACATTTGACTCTTACATATAGGAAATTGTCAAAATTATACAAATCTGTGATTAGCTGTGAACCTAATTGTCGCTGCCTGGTGTTTTGTAGTGTACCGCCCATACTACTTAGCAGTCCTGGATATTTAACAATTTTTAATGAGGTATCCTGTTAAAGAAACAGGATAAATAGATACAGAATGAAAGTATAATAAAATAGGATCTAATTGTTCTTGCAATCCTAAATCATTATTAATTACTCCTGTAAGGATTTGAAGTCCTCTGAGTTATTAATATACACACTATCATTAAACCACTTCAGGGAATCTCAAATCACCAGACGATTATTGTCTCTCCTAGGTACATACACTATGTATTTGACCTTGGAAATGGTCCCAATGTGATCAAAGGCAACAGTGACCACCCCCTGAATGACAACCAATGGCACAATGTCGTCATCACTCGGGACAACAGTAACACCCACAGTTTGAAAGTGGACACCAAGGTGGTCACTCAGGTTATCAATGGTGCAAAAAATCTGGATTTGAAAGGTAAACCTTGTAAAGAAGTTCAATCCTTAGAAACTTCTTCTTTTTTTTTTTTAAACAATACGAAGGCTGATTCCAGATGCAAACTACAGGACAACAGTACTGTACATATTTAATTCATCTTGCTTATCCTATTTTAACAATGTTGACTTAGATCATGCTGAAATGTATCCAGTTTTTTATTAGACCATTCTTTAAGGAATGTTTCATTTTCTTTGTAAATCTCTGGCATGTCTAGCTGTAGGAGGACTGAGTGGTCAACTGATAAATTATAGTATTATATAATTCAATAGAGACTCCTGGTGTGGCACGGTAGGATTAGCACTGAACTGCAAACCACAAGGTCAGAAGTTCAAACCCACCAGCTGTACCTCGGAAACCCTATATAGAGTTGCTATGAGTTGCAATCGACTCGACAGCACTTAACAACACATGAATCATTTATTGGCTGGGTAACTTTGGTTAAGTTTCTTAGTCTTGTTCAGCTTCAGTATATTGTTTCACAAAATGAAGGTAATAATGGTTACTACCTTTATGCATTGTATGGAGTCGTCATAGAACATCGGCAAAACCCTCATCAGATTATCAATAAGGAGCACATTAAAATGCTCAATAAATGTGCTTTTTGCTGAAAGTGTTAAGGTTTACTTCATCATAAAATGGAGATAATACAGGATTCCTATAGTGGCACTATCATGTAAGCACTGGACTGCTACTAACCACTAAGCTGATGGTTCAAGCCCACCAGCCACTCCTTGGAAACCCTATACAGGCTTGCTATGAATTGCAACTGACTTGATGGCACTTAACAACCTTCTTACAGATGATTAAATTTTATGAACTGGCATGTGTAAAATGAAAGGCATAAAAGATACTTAATTCAGTACAATTTAGAAATCCTGTGAATCATTTAGCTTGTTTTTATTTTGGTCTTTGTTTTCAGCCGCACTACCGTTTTCTGCCAAACAACTAAAGCTCATTACCTTTAATTTCCATGATTTCCGTATCCTTGACAGCTTCTCTTTGGTTACTTACTTTCCTTTTCAGGTGATCTCTACATGGCTGGTTTGGCTCAAGGCATGTACAGCAATCTTCCAAAGCTCGTGGCCTCCCGGGATGGCTTTCAGGGTTGTCTGGCATCAGTGGACTTAAACGGACGTCTGCCAGATCTCATCAATGATGCCCTCCACCGGAGTGGACAGATAGAGCGTGGTTGTGAAGGTACAACCCTTTTTCACGTGAGCTCCAGCCTTGCTGCAAGCACCAAGCCTCTTTGCTGCCTCTGCCAGTGCCTCTTTCCTTGGTTCCACCAGCCCTCTCTCATTCACATTTGCCATCAGAAACCACATCACCATCAGTGTCGTCCTGTCACTGGTTGAGTATGTCAAGACATGTGCCACAGGCTCCAGGAATGTATGTTGGCAGATGTTTTCACTGCATCACATACTTGCCAATAAAGGACCTATCCAGATATTGACATCAGTCTCCTCCCAACTTGTACCTTTTCTTCCAGAATGGTTGACAGGACCCCAGAGATTTTTATCTATGTTAATACATAGAATCAGCAGATCACAGATTTTATATGAGGGTCACCATTAATAGAATGCTTCTCATTTCTGCTAATAGTGACTCCATTGTTCAATATAAATCTCACATGAGGCAGGGAAACTTGTCAGAATGCTGTGATTATGAAAGGGAAGTAGCATTTCTTGAGTACTGCTAGGCAGTTCCTTAACATGGTACACAGGAACAGTTTGGACTTTGGAGTTCAAAAAATGTTGATTTAGGTTCAGGATGTAGTTCTTATTAGTTATGTGAGATTTATCAAAATTTTCAGCCTCTCTGAGCTACATTCTCCTCATCTGTAAACTGGGGCAATGAAACTTACCCTGGAATGTAATGTATGTAAAAGTTACATAGATCTAAAATGCCAGGAGTGACTGGTGGGTTTGAACTGCTGTCTTTGTGCTTATCCTCCACTGCCATAGAAGTACTCCAGGTACATAACAGGCGCTCAGTAAGAAGTAAGATTATTGCTTACAAATATTATTTCATGTGAGACATACAATAACATTACATGTCTGCTGAGGAAGTATAGCATACCATGCATAGCCTTTGTTTCTGTAGATGATCGACTGTCTCAAGATAGGAATAGAATTGTGCAGGTTTTTCTGAACTCAACAGATCTAAACAATAAAACCAATCTGGGCTAATGCATCAGACTGCAAAGTCATTTGAACTGCAAGGCTAGTGGTTCAAGCTCACCAGCTGCTCCTTGGAAACCCTATACAGGGTTGCTATGGGTCAGAATAGACTCAACAGCACTTAACAACAACAACAACTGTAACCAACAGAAGGCGGTAGTGGACACATTCAGCCTTGCCTAACAAGTCTTTTGAAGTCACTTTAGCCTAGGGCTCTCCTAAAAAGTGACTTTTACAGAACTGGAGAAGTGAACTGGTTGGATCTTGACCAGTCACCAGGATCTATGTATTCTTCTGTCTGGTTAAGTCTCATGGTCCTTTGTTGGTGCACTCTATTGTGCTTTCTTGTGTTCCTTGTTAATTTCCTTCATCAAACCTGTTCATTCATTTCCTCCTAAATGTTCAACTTCATTCATCGCTCCTGTTCTTAACCTGCTTCCACCTAGCTCTGCTCACCACCTTAAAGCACTCTTATCAGCTGCGCAGGCTGATTTCTAGTGATGGAAACCATTTCCCTTTGCCTAAGTTCTGTTTGCTTAGGTTCTGTGTTAGTAAGGAGACTGATTGCCCCTACTACCCACTATAATTTTCCTTTAGCCATAAATATTTCTTAAATTCTGTTGGCCAAATATGGTGTGTTTGTGTGTGTGTAATAGTGACAAAGTGTCGGGGAGTTTCCACTGCGTATTCAAAGTAGCCACTTTACTTTTTGTTTCAGGAAACATACACTGTCATTCTACTCAAGAATTTTTGGCTGCATTGGCCTGATGTTACTTCTTTCAGGAGTTAAAGGAAAACTCCGGGATGGGTGGAACATTTGGAATTAAATGGAGTAATTTAGTCCAGAGTATTGTAGAAGAGCAATAATTCTCATCGTGCTAGAATGATTAATAATATAAAAGTGTATGTCAAAAACTTGTTGTTACTAAGTGCCATTGAGTTGGTTCCAACCCATAGCAACCCTGTATAGGATTTCCAAGAAGTACTGGTTACTTTGAACCACCACCTTGCGGTTCAAACTGACTTTGCTGTCCAGCACATTAACCCACAGCGCCACACTCGACATCGGGTTGTGATGTGCTGTGGAGTCGGTTCCGACTCATAGTGACCCTGTATAGGGATTCCAAAGTTGTAAATATTTATGGTAGCAGAGATCCTCATCTTTCTCCCACGGAACAGCTGATAGTTTCGAACTGCTGACGTTAAGGTTCACAGCCTGATTCATAACCACTACACTACCAGAGCTCTTAACTAGGACTACCCCCAAAATATAAGGCACTGTTAATGTGAAGTACCATGCCATGAAGTTCTTCTATTAAATAAATATATAATAGGAATCATCCACTTAACCCTCTAGCAGCATTACTCATATAATTTAAAATTTTCTAGTAGTTATACCAGACAAAGGTATAAAAGAACGAGTAAAATTAATTTTTATTTACCATAATCCAATGAATACAAATATTATCAGTTCAGCATGTAATCAATGTAAAAAATCAATAATCTGCTTATTTCCCTTTCATACATTAAGCCTACAATGGCAAGGTGTAGCTTGAATACATTCTGACTATTTCAATTCAGATGATACACACTTAAAGTTCACAAGAGCTACATGTCCCTATGGCTACTATATTGGGAAGTCAGTTCTATAGAATATTAAAAACAATTTTGTGAGGGAAAAAAGAAACAAAAGTTTAGTTTAGGATTGAAAGAAAGTCTAAGCTAACTAACTTTCCTAAGAGTGGTTTAAAAATATAGTGTAAAGTGGCTAAAAAATATAGTGTAAAAATATACTTAAGAGAGTTTTAAGAGAGGCAATGAGAGTATTAACAAAAGGAAATTACCCATCAAATTAGGGGAAATGTTCTTATCCCTACCTACACTCTAGCTGCACTTTGCTATGACTCATCACATGCATTATGGTGGGTTCCAACCTCCCTTTGAGTATGGATGATTGTTCAAAGCCGGATATTGTGACTTGATGGCTCTACTGTTCTAATCTCTGACAAGTCCCACAGGCCTAATAACATGGCACTCTATTGCCATGGAGATAATTGTGATGGTTCCCCATCAAGCATTATGACTGCCCCACTGGGTGGGATGAAGTGGAGGATGAGTGCTGAGGGAAGAAGACCCTTGTTTATTGTACACAAATGACTTAGATAATTAGCCTAAGTGACCAGGAAATATGGCCAAAAAGTGGGTTAAGGCATAAATTGCTGTCATTGGAAGTTTGCACCATTGTGAATAAGCCCTTGTAAGAGATCCCAAGAGCTTTTACGGCTCCATGGAGACAGGTCTGTAGAAGATGGTGGGGAGGAAAAGAAGGACACAGACCTTGGAAAATCTTCAAAAAGATGCCACTGATTTTGTGAATCTTTCATACTTATATAACCTAGCATGTCACACCAGAAAGTAGGCTATATTGGGTGGTAGACTCTATGAGAACCATTCAAAATGGTACACATGTCTTATCATTGCTGTGTGTAGAATAGGAGCCCTAGTGACTCAGTTTTAAAACACCCAGCTGCTAACTAAAAGATCAGTGGTTGGAATCCACTAGCTAATCCATGGGCAAAAGATGTGACAGTCTGCTTCCATAAAGATTTATGACCTTGGAAACCCTGTGGATCAGTTCTACTCTGTCCTAAGGGGACAGTGTGAGTTGGAATTGACTCAACAGTGGTGTGTTTTGGGGTATGTTTCCTACATTTACACCAGCTCCTCCTGGGAAGTGCTATATAGGGTCACTAAGAGTTAGAATTGACCCAATGGCACTTAACAACAACATATACAGAACATTATACTGACAGGTAAAGAGAGCATGGGTCTCTTCAATCTGGTAAATGTGTTTTATTCTCACATATCTGGGCCACCCCAGCCTGGATGCAGCACACATTCTTGTCAAAGTCATCGGTAATGCCATGTCAGGTCCCTAAGTAGTAAATGTATTGTTTTCTCAATGATATCTGACCCATGACAGCAGATAAAACAAAATGCATTAGAATAAAAAAATATTTTCAAAAATATCAGCCTACTTCTGAGTTGTTTTTAATAAAGAAAAATGTTGCACTGCATTAGGCTTGGATATCTCTAATCTATGTTGAGTTTGTGATTTTACAAATTAAGTGCAATTTCTGGGCAGATCCTAGCTAACTAGGACTTCTGGCCTCTTAATTTGAGATAGAGATTTTATAATAATGTCTGATGTAATATTTGGCTGATGATATCTCTTCCTATTTTGAGGACAGCTTTTATGAAGAGATCAAGGCATGAATTGGCTAGAAATGCTATTCCACAATTCCAGATGGTAAACATCTGAGAGAAACACACGTGGTTCATTTCGAGACTGGCATGAATACATAAAGTGGACACTGGTTTGGTGTCTTTTCGCCCACATTCATTTTGGTTTGGCTATATTTTTACAAATTAAACAAAATGAGCTCTTTGATGTCCTCAAATCATCTTGGTCCAAATGCCTGGTGCGAATGTTGCATTCCTTGGTGGTATTTGCAATGGGCACCAGAATGTTCCCAATTGAGTCTTCCATTTTCAATGCCTAAATGTCCAGAGTTATTTCTGTGGGCTCCCTCTGATTCTGCACACGTGTCTTTCAGTCTGGCCACGCACTCTCCTTATTTCTTGATGTTTATCCTGACTGACGGAAAGTCATTTTTCTGGACCATATGCCTTTGGGTTGGCTGTTTGAATGTGGGGAGGCTCTTGTTACCCATTGCTTGTGCTTCTGTCAAGTCTGATATTTCCCTGGCCCTGCTCTGCTGACTTGGCTTCGAGGAGGCCTGCTCTGCCTCTGGTCTGTGTGTCCCTGTCTGTGCTGTCTCTGGTGAACCTATAGAACATAGTGATTGTCTGTTTGGGTCATGTTGGTTATGCTAAATGCATTTTCATTTCTTTGATGTTACTCTGGTTTACTCTGCCTCTTACTAACCTCTGATTATTGTTTTCGCTTTTCCTGTCTTTTGCTAACAAAGTTGCGTTGACCAAAGCTGACCTGCA